TATCTTTAAATCTATTAACTCTATTCTGGATTGTAACAATACAATTCTTCTATTAAAACCCAATCAGCAAACTGTTAAAGTGCGAGCCCCTTGGTACAGTTGTTCAGTATTATTTAATTTAGAATTTAGATAAGTTAAAATTGTAGTTAAGTTTCTAGTAATTTATGCTATGATTATCTTTTATGTTATTTATGGTAGTACAAAGCAATTCAAATCCATTAGTCCACATAAGTTAAAGTAAATTAATAGTTGAGTGGCTCAGTTAATAGTTTATTTGATTAATTGTTTATTGTAATGAAATTAGTCTTTTCTTATATTATTATTACAATTTGATTTAATCGACCACTGGTCTTTGCACTATTAAAATTAACTTTGTCCTTTGGCTATTGAACTCTAATGTTTGACCATTTGATTATAAACTTATAATTTGATACCAATTGTTTTGTTTTCATATATTTGATTCAACCACTTCTCTTGAACAATTTTATTACTATCCCTCTCTTAATTAGTTAACGTTCATAGCAATTATACTTGTGTTTTGTTCAATACCTGCTAGTTTCTTACTTTACTTTGTTAATAGAATTGTACAAAATAATTGAATTTAAGTCTGTATTAAATCATACTCTTGTACTTTGCTCATTGCAATAAACTTACTTATTTCATTGAATCATGTCGCACTGAATATTCATATTTTCATTTCACTCTTGAGCACATATACAGTCCACTATCTCAAATCATATATTATAAAGACCTAACTGAGCACATATTACAGGTAAGATAGTTATAGCATTGGAATTAATTGGCTTACACATGGGACAAATTGTATTTACTTTTACTCGTATAATACTTGATGTTATAATTTTTATTTAGTTTAATTGTTCCAATTCCTCCCTATCCCTCCACTCCACGCACATTCCTATACAAATNTCTATCCCTCCACTCCACGTACATTCCTATACAAATAAATCAGATAGTCACACTAGAAAATCAACTGACTAACCGGCTTTCTTCTTGTCGCCTTCGTAAGAATAGGAGTTCGTTCACTGGTCAGTCCTGTTCCTAACAATTGCTATATTCTGAAATGCCAAAATATTATACCTGGAATCAATCCTCAAGGAGATTTATACGACGGAAACAAGGAAAACC